CTCCCTCACTGCTTAAACCAAGTGAGATGGTTTTTACCATGGCCGAACTCCAATATGACCGAAGTAATCATGATCACGCCGAGCCACAGAGTAAACCGAACTATCGTTAGTTCGGTTCTACCTTCAGTGTTCTTACTCTAATTCCTCCATTGTCAACAGTGTTAAGTCTAAACCGATCTAACTTTTAGCAAGGCTTTTAGACCGAACTAACCATACTGTGCCTTAACTGACATAAGTTCAACGCATCCTTAAACCAGTCTAACTACAAAGCGTCCTTCAACTGGACTAACATCAAGAGTAACTCGGACCGGTCTACCTCCTGGGCTTGAGATCGGGCTAACTCCGAGACCGGACTTTCTTCAAGTCTCCTCTGGATCGGACTAGCTTCGGGACTCTAGGACCGGACTAACTTCAAAGCCTTTTTACTCAGCCCTTCGTATTGTGGCCCATGACGGCCCATTACCCAGCTCGGCCCAATTTTCATATAAATTACCCTCTCAATGACAATGTTTTAAAATAAATAAATAACATATGCCCTAAAGACCTGTTAACCAAATCCAATAAACAATCGATATATCTATCTATCTATTCTATAGAAGGCCCCAATTGGTACGTTGAAATATTTGCTCCCTCAAGACACGTTAATCAGATCCAATAAATATTTGATATATCTATCTATCTATTCTATAGAAGGCCTCAATTGGTGTAGTAAAACCTTTGCTCTCATCATGCTATGTGATAGTTTTTTATTTTTAAAAAAAAAGCTGCACAAAACAATAGATAAGGCTTGAACCCATGACAATGGATTTAAGATAGGAGAACTAATACCACTTAAACTAAATACACATTATAAAATTAATTTTATTATTATTTTCTTTTATTCTTACATATTTGAATTGCATATGCATTACGTGTGCCACCCACTAATTTTTTATATGGATAGAGTAATTAAGATAGTGAATTTGTTTGGTGTAACTTATAAGGCGCTTATAACTTCTTTTTTTTCTTTCTTTTTTTTTTTTTTTGCCTTTTTTTTAAAAGGCAAATAAGTTTCAAACGATTTGATACAATTTATGAGACAAAATAACTTAATTAAGTTGATAAAACTAATTATTGAGAAGCAGCGAAATGAATGTTTTTAATTTTTGGCTTTATGATTATCAACTTTTAAATTGCAAGATCCTCTCTATTGTGTATCTAATGATTATAAAATAAAAATACAAATGTATAATTTTTTTAAATTAGAAAAATATCATTACATTTATCGTTGGATGATATTTGTAATTAGGGCAGCAAATAAGCCGGGCTGAACTAAACTTTAGTATGTTCGGCCTTGTTTATTAGATTTTAGCATATTCAGCTCAAACTTTTTTTTTTTGTCTTGATCGGCATATTCAGCTCAAACTTGAACTCAATAAAAATTTTATGAACTGAGTTAGAGTCGAGTTGGCTTAGACTTGACTCGATCTCGAGTTCGAGCTTGTTCACGAGTCTTAACGAGCTAAAAAAATTATAAATTCATACTTGCATACGGGATTACAATTGAAACTTCGATTATATAATTATATATATGATATATACAAACATACTAAAAAAAAGTCAATATCTTACCAATAAACTTAGCTATTATTTACAATATTTAAATATTTAAACAACATATTTACCCTATTTATTATATTATGTAAATAAATATTAAAATGAGTAGAGCTAATGAGCCGTACTTTAATGTGTTTGGACTTGTTTATTAGGATTTGAATGAGTTCAAGCTCAAGTTCGAACTCAATAAAAATTTAATAAATCAAATTTGAATGAACCTTTAAAGAGCCAAGCTCGAATCTGTTTACAAATGACTCTATTCATTTACAACGCTATTTATAATGCAGAGGATTACAATTTCTTTTATTACACTACAATTCTGTTTTCATGGGCTGCGAAGATAATAATCTTAATTTTAATGGTATTCCAAAACTATCTAATAATTTTATTTTATTTTTTTCAATGGCATTTCCATGCTAACAATACAGGCTTATGGTATAAATGAACAATGTTTGGTAAGAAAAAAAAATAAAAATAAAAATAAAATTCACAAAAAATGTATATAAAAACATAAATATGTTACATTCAGCTTGTTTGGTTCCTA